CATGTGGGATGTTGGCGATTTAACCCAGGTTGGCTATGTACAAGGCAAGCATCGTGTCTGCTATACTAACTAGCTAGCTCTTTGGCTCCAAAACTTGCAGATTTAAACAAAACATAAATAATTTGGGACGGGGGTAAGATATAGGTGAATAATGAAGGTATGGCATATATACACACAATGTGATACTATGCAGCTGCCAGGAATAATAAAATTATGCAATTTGCTGCAACTCGAATGGAATATGAAGAAGTTAAGAAGAACGTTCTCATTTAGCTATGGTTATGGAATAACATTACTGAAAAGTAATGTATCCAAAGAAAACCCTTGGTCCTAGATTACAGAGATGGTAAGGCCAGAAAATGAGAGAAATGGAGCAGGGAATTAAAAGAGATGGTGATCTGTCTGCTCTTTCTAATGTCAGGCACAAAAGTTAGGTCAAAATGGTTAAAGATCTCAGTATCTGACCTGAATTCATAAGGTACATGGACGAAAACATAGGCAAAACCCTCCAACATTGAAACTGAAGGCATCTTCAAAGATGAAACCTGCTGACCAAGCAAGTGGAAGCAAAGATAAACAAATAGGATTACATAAAACTAAGAAGCTTCTGCACCTCAAAACAATCTTTGTCTAAGATACAAAGAAGCCCATGGTATAGGAAAAATTATTTACCCTGTAGCCATTTGTTAAAGGGTTAATATCATAGTTATATATGACACTGGTAGAACTTTACAAGAAAAAATACATCCAACCCCATCACAAATGGGGAGAGGAAATGAACAGAAATTTCCTCAAAGAAGAAATACAAATGGACAAAAAGCACATGAGAAAATGCTCTATGCCACTAATCATCAGGGAGATGCAAGTCAAAAAAACAATGAGATATCATCTTATACCACAGACTGGTACACATTCAAAAGAACAAGAGCAACCAGTGATGGCACAGGTGTGGGGAGAAAGGAACTCTTCTTCATTATTGAGGGGAATGCCGACTGGCCCAGTCTTTTTGGAAAACAATATGGATGGTCCTCAAAAAAAAAATGAGAAATCGAGTTTCCATTTGACTCAGCATACCTCTTCTGGGAATATACGTTGGGAGCACAAAAACATAGCAAAAAATGCACTTCTGTGTTCGTTGCAGCATTATTCACAATAACCAGAATCTGAAAACAATCTGTGTGCCCGAGAACAGATGACTGGATATAGAAACCATAGTACATCCACATAGTAGAATACTACACAGCCATTAGAAAGAATAAAATCATGAAATTTACTTATAAATGGATGGACATAGAGCGCATCATGCTGAGTGAAATGAGTCAGAAGGAAAGGGACAGGCATAGAATGACTGCATGTGTGGGAAATAAAAATAGTCTGAGACGAATATCCAAGCCCAGGGTAAATGGGGGCCAGGAGAACTGGTCAGTGATTGGAAGCTTGCCACAAGAGTGTTGGGTGAAGGGCAGTTAGCATAGAGAAGGAACCAACATGACAATGATAATTGGAAATGATCGTTTTGGACAGGAACTCAGTGTTAAAAGTAGGTAAAGGGATAAACATAATAACTTCTCATTATCTTTATTGCAAACCATAAGACCCAAAAGGTTGGGGGAGATGCCTACCGTAGTGGCAGGTTGGGGGCAGGGGGTGGCGGGAGGGAAACTGGGATCATTGGTGCTGGGAAGAGTACACTGGTGAAGGGACGGGTATTTAAACATTTTATGACTGAAATCCAATCATGAACAACTTTGTAATTGCATATCATTGTGATTCAGTTAAAAAATATATAAAAAAGAGGCGGTCCTGGGGCTGGAGCCACAGCTGGTAGGGCGTTTGCCTTGCACGCGGCCTACCCGTGTTTGATTCCCAGCATCCCATATGGTCCCCCGGGCACCGCCAGGGGTAATTCCTGAGTGCATGAGCCAGGAGCAACCCCTGTGCATTGCCAGGTGTGACCCAAAAAGTGCAAAAAATAACCAAAATGGTCCTGGGGCCGGAGTGATACTACAGTGGGTAGGGCATTTTCCTTGCATGTGACTGATCCGGATTCGATCCCTGGCATCCTATATGGTCCCCCAGCACCGCCAGGAGTAATTCCTGAGTGCAGAGCCAGGACTAACCTCTGAGCATCACTGGGTGTGACGCATAAAGAAAAAGAAAAAATGGTGGTCTGGAGGCAGCAGGGGGCAAGACTCATGAGCCTTGGATTTAGCTCAGGTGTAGAGGCAGGTATCTATTTGTGTCCACTAGAACCAATGCGGCTGTACACATGAGTCCTAAAGTACAGTAATTAAACTTACAATTGTTGCTGTTAAGGAGGTTGATTGGGAATGGTGGGAGGGACCTTGGGGACATTGGTGACAGGATGCTAACTCTGGCAGTGGAATCGGAGTTGGTATACTGTCCAAATTTCTGTTGACAGATTTGCAAATCATGATGCCGAACTAAAACATTAAAAAATTTTGGGTGTAGTGGTTTGGGCCACATCATACGGTGTTGAGTTATTCCCAGTTCCTGCTCAGGATTGACCCCTGGTGGTGCTTTGGGGATTGTATATGGTTCCAGGGATAGCAAAACAAGAGCTATACCTCTTGTATCCACTTTATTTTTAATCTTTTTTTTTCCTTTTTGGTCAACCAAGTTTTTTCTTTCTGTGCAACCCAGCGATACACAAGGGTTACTCCTGGCTCATGCACTCAGGAATCACTCCTGGCGGTGCTCGGGGACCATTATTTTTAATCTTTTGATTATACCGGCCAGCCCCCCTGGAGCGATAGCACAGCGGGTAGGGCGTTCGCCTTACAAGCGGCCAACATGGCCGACCCGAGTTCGATTCCTCCACCCCTCTCGGAGAGCCCGGCAAGCTACCGAGAGTATTCGATATGCCAGACACAGTAACAACAAAGTCTCCAATGGAGACGTTACTGGGCCCGCTCGAGCAAATCGACGATCAACGGGAGGGCCTTTACCTTTACCTTTACCTTATACCGGCCAGTGCTTACCTGAATCTACTTTCAGAGATTACTCCTGGTGTTGGAGAACCATACAGGGTGCTAGGGGTTGAACTGTGTTGGCTTTGTGAAGGAAAGTGCCCTATCCACTGTACTGTACTATCACTTCAGCCCCTCTAAATTCTTACTAGTTTTGAGTAATTTTATGAATGTACTGAAGTTTGTCCATTTGTCTGCTGAACGCTGTCTGGGTTGCATGTGAGTTTTGGTGTTCATGATTAAATGTGCCGTACTCTACCAATAATGCAAACGAGAATGCCTAAAGGGAGGGAGCTGGAAACAGGAGAGGGGAGAGGAGAGAGCCTGCTGGAGAGACAGGCTGGGGTGAGGGTAGGTGGGATGGAACTGGGACATTGGTGCTGGGAATTGTACACTGTTAAAGGACCGGGTGTTGGAAAAGTCTATGACTGAAAGCCAGTTAAAACAACTGCTGTAGAAATCCACGAGTGAAATTGTTCTCATGAACATGTGATCTCAACTCCTTGGGGAAATATTATGTTGTGGAATTACTGAACTGCTTGATGTGCTGCCAAAGAAATTGAGACATTTCAATTTGGATGGCCACATCGACGAGCCCATATGTATGCGTGGTGGATACCTAGTGGTCTTAACTATCCTTTTTCCCCCATAGATAAAAAACTGTGACTATGCAGTTTAGATTCAGATAAAACTTGTTTTCGGGTCGTATATGCCCAGTTGTTCTCAGGGCTTACCTCTGATTCTGCACTCAGGAATCATTCCTGGTGAGGCTCAGGGAACCATAGGGGGTGCTGGAGATTGAACCTGGGTTGTCCATGTGCCAGGCAAGCACTCTACCCACTGTATTATCTCTCTTGTATCAGGTAAAACATTTTGAAGAATAATTATCATTAGTCACATGGGACTATTATATATTTTTGGTTTGGGGGTCACACCAAGTGTTCATTGCCTCTATGCAGATGGTTCTGGGGAGATACTCTGAGCTTCTGGCATGCAGAGTATGCTCGTAGCCTAGTATGAAGTAAAGCTCCTCACCATGTGGGTAATTTTGTACACGCATAGCTGGAGGCACATAAAGTCATGCTTTCCCCACTTCTAATGACAGGAGGTGTTTTGGTTAATGTAGTAGCAACTAGATTTTACTCATAATAGTTTCCTTTTGAAATTTAAAGTTATTTTTGGTATAATAGCATTGTGTGAATTGTTCCTGCTAAGTAACTATTCACTTAAAAAATTTTTAAGTGGAAGAGGAAAAATAATATTCAGGATTTTATTTATTTATTTATTTTTTTGATTTTGAAGTCACACCTGGCGATGCACAGGGGCCACCCCTGGCTCATGCATCCAGGAATCACTCCTGGTGGTGCTCAGGGGACCATATGGGATGCCAGGAATCGAACCCGGGTTGGCCGCATGCAAGGCAAACACCCTACCCGCTGTGCTTTTGCTCTAGCCCCAGGATTTAATTTTGATATTTAATTTTTTTTCTTAAATTAAGAATGGAAATTATTTACATGATAAAAGATTTTAGAACATCAGTGGGATGAGAAACTTGATGTGATGCCCTTTTGGGTGGTGCTACCATACAGTGTTCAGAGGCCTGGGGTCTATTTCCCAGCATTGCACGCCACCTCAGGTGCCTTGGCCCTGATACCGTGCTGCTTAGTCCTAGTGGTATTGAGAATCAATATGGTAGCCCCAGAATTGCTTGGGGGGCTCTGCAGTGCTGGGAATTCCACTTGGGGCTTAATGTTCCAGGCATGTTCTCCAGCCCGAGTCCTCTCTCCAGACTCTCCCTACGTCTTACCTAGATTTTGCCAATATGTCTTACCAGACTGTTTTCTAGAGACTGGCTCAAGAACAGCGGTATTCAGAAGGTAGGTCATAGTGGTGGGAGCATCAATTATAAAGATCTTAAAAATGTATCTATGTTTTGCTGGTGTGGGGGTGGCGGCTGTGGTCTCTCCCCAGCCCCAGCCATGTTTTTTGTTTGTTTGTTTTTTTGCTTAGGGGCCTAGGATCCAGATAAAACTTGGCTGAGTGGTGCTGGGGATGCAGTTCTACGTAGGCCCTGCCATGCTGCGTGGGGGGAGAGCATGTGCCTCAGGTATGTGTCCCCGTGTCCCCTCCCTCTGAGTGACCGACCGTGTTAAAGCCTTCTACAAATTGCTGAGTCAAACTCCCGAGGGCTGAGACCTAGAAATCAGGGTTTCAGACACACCGCATAAACGTGTGTGTTCGTCCGTCGTGTGTCACCCCCCCGCTTTTTAAACATCCTGTATTAAGGCCCTCTCATGCCTGTGTTCTTCCTTGAACATGTGTCTCCACTTGCTGCTTTTATGCTGGAGAGGCTGAAGTTTGCATATTCCTCTCTCTGCCCTTACGTTTTTCTAAGTAAATTTATTCAGTAAAAACTATCTAGCTTTGCTTAAAAAAGTACTAACTCTGAAAGTGTGCTGTAGATGATTTAGTTTTTACCTTTTTTGGGTGGTGCAGGGGCCACTATCTGTGGTTTATGTGGTGTCCCAGTCAAACCCTGGTTTCAGGTTTTGTGAGGAATGCATGCTAGCCCTTTGAGCATCTATCTCCTCAGCCCCTGGATTATCTTTAAACAAATTAAGAAATAAAAAAAAATGTAAGTGTCTGGGAGTATTGATAATTTCAAACTATGTAAATAGGCTGCTGCTGCTGCGGAAATTCTGTTCTACTAAATTTAGCATTCATTGGTGGTACCTATATATGGTATGTATTACTTAGTGTTCCAGTGGTGGTATCTCGTTTTCCTATGTACCAGGGCACTTAGAATATCAAGAATAAAAAGCATTCAATGTTTGCTTATAAGGAATTCATAGGGTGACAGGTTTTTGATATGAACAAACAGAAAACGCCTTCATATGCACCCATGGCCTCTTGCACTCCCCTGGATCATCCCAGTGTTTCATTTTTTTTATTTGGTGTCTTGCCCAGCAGGGGTCAGGGGTCTTCCTGGATTTCTGCTCAGGGTTCACTCCTGGCATTGCTCAGTAGACCATATGAGGTACTGGGGAGTGGACCCTGCTAGCTGTATGCAAGTTACATAACCCCATGAATACTGTCCTGACCCTAAAAATTTTGTTGTTTTTCAGCCCCGCCCATTCTTGCTGGGGGAAGTGTACATGGGCATTATTTGCACTCTGCCTTTTGAACTCTTCTCCAGCCCCTATGTAGTCTTTTTGTTCTTGCCTTCTGGCCATATCCTGTGATACTTGGTTTCTTCTGCCTCAGTATTTGGGGTTACTTGTGGCAATGCTATGGGGCCGTGTGGTACCAGAGATTGAACCTGGTCCTACTACATGCGAAGCACGGAGCACTCTGGCACTATTCATGTATATCTTTTGGGGGGTGGGGTGGTGATTGGGATTTTGGCCACACCTTGTAGTTTTCAAGGTGCATTGTGTTGCTCTCAGGGATGCTTGGAGGACCATGCCATGCCAGAACTGAACCTGGGCCTTCTGCATGCAGAGCATATGTTCTAGCCCCTTAAGTCATCTCTCTGGCTGTTATGCATGTATTTGTGCTAGTGTCAACAACTATGAATAGTGTTAGAGTAACACTAGAATTATGCACGATGTATTTTGGAAGTGCAAAGACTGCTAAATACATTGAGCATAGTAAGCATAAATTTACAAAAATATTTGAAAATATAGGTATGGGAATATACTAACAAATATGGGAGTATTTGGCAAAATCAGATTTTAGAAAAGCATATGAGAAGAAACCCCATAGCCCCAACAGTTGTTGAGTGGCAGAGAGCACAGTTCTTGGAAGCATCAGCCTGTGGTGTCTTGAGTCTGAGCCCTGTACTTGACCCCAATTGCAGGCACAGTGCCATGACAAAACTATGTCATGAATATTAACAAATGTGGCTTCTGTAAAAATGTGTTCGGCTGTATCATAGTATGTGTACCCCTTGGTTATTACAGAAATAACACAAAAGAAAGGGCAGTTGAGGGGGAAATCACCCTATATAGGGACTGGAGTGGTTAGTACAGTGGGGATGATGTTTGCCTTGAATGCAGCCAACCCAGGTTCGGTTCATATGGTCCCCCGAGTACCACCAAGAGTGATTCCTGAGTGCAGAGCCAGGAGTAACCTCTGAGCATTGCAGAGTATCTACAAAACCAAAAATACATTTTTTTTAAAGAAAACAAAACCAAAAATACATTTTTTAAAAGAAATCACCCCTACATCATTATGTGACCCATATCTATGTGGCTATTATTTTTCTTTTTCTTCTTATTATTTCGTTGTTTTGGAGCCATATCTGGTGGCACTCAGTGGTTACTCCTGGCGGGCAGGGGACCATTATGGGATGCCAGGGATCGAATCAGCTGCATGCAGGATAAGCCCTCCACCCATTGTACTATCTCTTCACCCCCAGAAGGTTTCATCCAAACTTCATGCTCTTACCTTTTGAATTTATTTCTTCGTATTTTAAAATTTTGTGGTACCAAGTATCGAACCCAGGGTCTTCCTTGCTTTCCTTCTATTTTGCAGCTATTGTGCATGTGGCTTTTTCTTTTTCTTTTCTTTTTTTTCTTTTTGGGTCACACCTGGCAATGCACAGGGGTTAGTCCTGGCTCTGCACTCAGGAATTACTCCTGGCGGTGCTCAGGGGACCATATGGGATGCTGGGAATTGAACCTGGGTCGGCCGCGTGCAAGGCAAACGCCCTACCCGCTGTGCTATCACTCCAGCCCCGCATGTGGCTTTTTCAGCATAATTTTTCTTCACATTATTTTTTTAGGTTGTATGCATTTTGTTAAAAGCGTCAAGCCTGTTTGCTGTTGGGTATTTTGGGCTGTACCCAAGCGGGCTGAGTGTACTCCCTCTGTGTCTGGTGTTGGCATCTGTCGTTCTCAGAGCACAGGTGGTGCTGGGGATTGGACCTGGGCTTCCTGCTTGCATTCTGGGTTGAAGAGATAGTACAGAGGTTAAGGTGCTGGCGCTGCATGGTCCCTTGAGCACTGTTGGGAGTGGGACCTGAGGACCACTGAGTGTGGCTCAGAAAGCACCAGCTCCCCTCTGCCCTGCTCAGATCTATCACCCATGTCACACAGCCCCTGTGTTATCTCTCTCCATAGGCTCCCCCTTTCCTCTTAGTTTTCCTCCATGGCGATCAGGGGTTACTCTTAGATCTGTAATCTGGATTCCCTTAAGGAGAATTTTATCACCTTAGTTTCAAGATTCAAAATAATTTTCTTCTTTCTTTTCCTTTGGCTTTTTCTTTTGTCTATGCCGGCTATATTTTATTAACCAAACCATTTGTCTAATAGATTATTTTGTAATCTTAGTTTCTGTGATCTATGTTTTTTCTATTTCCTTTAAATTGGAGGAGAGTTACAGGGAGCTAATAAAATTGTTTACTTTTGATAGATGTAGGAACACACTTTTGGGGGCTAGAGAGAAATAGTACAGGGGTTAAGGGCGCTCACCTTGCATGGAGCCAACTTCGGTTTAATACTGCATAGGGTTCCCCAAGTATCATCAGGAGTGAGTCTTGGGCAGAGTCATGAGTAAACCCTAAGCAGCATTGGGTGTGGGGGCAATCCCCCACCCCCAAATAAAGAAATATGATTCTGTCTGTTTAATAGGTGTGGCCTTGCTGTAAGGAAGACTTTATCAGCTTGTTTGGCATTAAATTTTTCATCATGTAGCTTATTCCCCTAGAACTGATTCTTCTGATCTCCATAGCATCTGAATTATTAGTAGATTGAGTTTGGAAATAGAAATTATGTATTGTTTAAGCACATGTGAAAAGTGTATTAGTTGTATTTTCCATTTAAACTGTTCTGTACAATGCATTTAAAACAGACTTTAGAATTAAACTCTGCTGTTTCCTTTTCCTTTCTTCTTTTTCTGGTTGCCCGAGCAGTGCTCAGGGATCCCTGGGCCATGCTCCAGGCCATCAGGACAGCCTGGGTGGTGTATGCATGTGGGCCTGTGTGTCAGGAACCAAGGCAGGCATGTGCAACAACCCTTTAATCTCTTTCCCTAGTCATGCCTTCTTTGTTTTAAGTAACAAAGCTCAGATTTTCAAAAATACCGTATTGGACTGAATGGCATGTATGTTGTCATTGAGTCAGACACAGCTTTCAGATAAAACTACTCTGAGCTTTTGGAAAGCTTACTAATCCAGCAAAGAATAAAAAGCTTGGTTTATATTTTTGTTCTTTATAACTTAATACATGATCAGTCATCATTCCCCTCCTCACTATCCTCAAGTAGATTCTTCCTATTTGGTATGACTCAGTAGGTAATTTTTGGGTCTGGAAACGCTAGGGTTTCTGTCCAGAGAGACAAAGTAACCCCAGGTGTCCCTGTGAGGGTGAGAGGGATGGTTTGGGCACATGCTTTGCATGTGGGAGCTTAGGTTTTGACCTTCAGCACTGCTTGGTCCTCCACATATTGTTGGGAGTGACCCTTAAGCAGAGTCAAGAGTAGCCCCTGATCATCACTGGGCATGGCCCCCTCCACAAAATAATTCACTAAATCATACAAAATAGGAATGTTCTACTTTGGGGGGGGGGCACACCCAGTAATGCTCAGGGCCTCATCCTGGCTCTACACTCAGGGATCAGTCCTGAAGTGCTTGGGGGACCATATGAGATGCCAGGCATCTAACCTGGATTAGCAGCGTGCAATGCAAAAACTCTACCTGTTGTATTATCGATCTGGCCCAAGAATTATATTTTCTTAAAAACAAAACTGAGGGGCTGGAGGGATAGTACAGTGGGTAGGGCGTTTGCCTTGCACATGGCCAACTCGGGTTCAATTCCCAGCATCCCATATGGTCCCCCAAGCACTGCCAGGAGTAATTCCTGAGTGCATGAGCCATGAGTAACCCCTGTGTATCGCCGAGTGTGACCCAAAAAGCAAAAAGCAAGCAACAACAACAAACTGAGGCCTGGAGAAAGTACAATGGATAAAGTGCTTAACTTGAATGCTGCCACCCTTATTTGATTGAATTTGGCTCCCTGAACACCTCCAGGAGTAACCCCCAAGTGTAAGCTTGAAATAACATCCTCCTCCCAGCACTGCTGGGTGTATATAACTTGCCACTCCTTT